CACGTGAAAAATCCAGATTTTTCTCGTAAAAAAATTGCCTCATCCCAGGACCCCTCAAGTATGCTTGAAGAGGCCGAAATACTGCGCCTGCCAGAGATTTTGACCCTCGGCCGATGTGATAAACCCATGCCACGACCCTGACTCCGGGCACTTGGCGAAGGCTGCGCGAGTTTAGGGGTACCTGTAAAGGGGTTTTATAGGGGGTTATATGCGGGTTATATAGGGATCTCTAGGGTTTAGGGTTTCCTAAAATCAGGGGTGCCTTTCAAGGGGTTATATAGGGCTGTATATGGTTTAGGGTTTCCCAAAAGGTCCCCATAATAAGGATTCTAAAATATTGGGATCTGTATTGGGGTCCCCTTATTCTGGGAAACTACCATTTGAGTCAGGAGCAATAGGCCCTCCTTAAGTGCCCAGGTCATAAACCCACGAGGACCCTACCCAAAACTGTGGAAGATGCTGAGTACAACTGGTTTCTGGTGACAAAAGCCCCCAAACCTTGCCTAGACCCGAGATCACCCTTGCATGAACTCTTGACTGTCAGCTCAGGCCCCCAAATCTTCCCGAAATTCCTCACACAACACAAGTGCGAACCTAAACCTTAAACCATGAGCCCGAAAGACAGCTCACCTTCAAACCTTCGCCCCTGAAAGCCGGCCTTGATTCGCTCATAAACCTCGCGCTGCTTGCGGCGAATCTCAATGACTCGAGCCTCCTCGTACATCCGAGCCTGTGCTACGGAGTATTTAAGTGTAGAAAGTTCCAGGTTCTGGAAATACAGGTTTATGATGCAAACCCAATGTCAAGTCTGAGGAGGTGTTTCCTGCTCTTGGTTCAGAACGGTCTTTGTTGTTCAGCTATCTGGTTTAGCAGACAGTTCTCTGTTGCTGCACTATAAAGTAGCAAACAAGCCCGCCACGTCGCATTTCTCTGCACCCCTACAGTACTACTTTGCATTTGTGAGCACGAGGTGTCTGCTTAGGGGACGTGAATGATAGGGACTTCCACACCTGAAGGCCAACCCTGGCCAAATGTTAAACCAACCCCACGACCAGTGCTCCGGGCAAGAAGCCTCGTAGGCTTCCATGATGGGATCCCGTGGCCCATAAAGGGAAGCCTCGGGCTCAGGACATTGAGGTTTCCAGCCTGCAACTTTTGGGTTGGTTTTCTGGAAAAATGAGGACTTCCCAAAATTACGGGTACCTTATTAGGGGTCCCCATTGTAATGATTATAGAACAGTGTTTTGGGGTCTATATTGGGATCGCCTCATTTTGGGAAACCACCAAATAGACCATAAGGTTCTATGTTTGGGAAGCCCAGGTTCTTTCAATCCCGTGGGCTTGTAGTAGGACAACTTTCACAACTCCTTTGTCGCACTTCGTCTCTGGCCATACTTTTGGGCCACTTCTAGCAACTCAAGCACTAAACCCCTCACTCCACAACTTGAACCTTAAATTCCTAAGCCCCCCCCCGAACCCCCCAAACCCTACAACTGCGAGGCCCCTGCTCTTTCCTGCTCCTTCTGCGACCAGGCCTGCCGCCTCTGAGCAGAATGCTTCTCCTCCAAACGCCTCCGCCACTGAGGGCTTTAGGTGGTCCTTTACGCTAAGGCTCCATGTAGGTATTATTTATAGGGATTAGGGCCCAGTGTAAGTATTATCTATATAGTTAGAGCTTCAGGGTTAGGTATGTTGGGTTTAGGGCTTTCGCTTTGCGATTTCAACGGTTAGTGCTTTGAGTTTGGGGAGCATTGGTGTTCAGGGTTTGCAGAGCTTCGGGCGGGGTTGAAGGTTCAAATGTAGATCATGTGAAGCGACGGAAACATGTAGGAAAGGAGCTTAGGGCATTGATGTAGGGAAGGGCACGGAGGGTGTGGGGGTGAGGGACAATTTCGAATTTCTCATGTGGAGTTTAGGGATGACAGCCCGCAAATGGTAGCACAATCGGGTTTGGTTTGCTACAGTGCTCAGGCCTGGACAGGGTTCGATGCCAAGCAAGTTCAGAACAATGAAGCCCCTGACATGAACCGCCCCTTGTCTCGCCAAGCTCAAAGATTCTTGCTTTTACTCCTGCCAAAGGTTTGGGCGAGAGTCTTATTTGATCGTTCAGTGGCAGAGTGAGGAACCACCTGACGTCGCGGAAAGTTCGCTTCAGGATTGAGTACCGCTCTCCACGCAGTATCTTTTGAGTTCTCAGGCAGCTGCCAAACAAGGGGGACTACCATAATGGATATACATATACGCACATATACAGAGTAAATAATAAGGTTTCTCCAATATAGTAACTTAAATTAAGTTCCTTGACAGCAGGTGGGTTGAAGGATCCCTTGACTAGGCTCTGACGAGATTTCTTCTTCCCAGCTTCTATCATCCCACTTGTGAAGCCTCGTTACTTTAAGACTTGAGCGGGTATGTTTGAGGTCTTTAGCCACGTTTGGAGATTGGGTCTATGACTGCAAAAATGTTGAAGCGCTCCCGTCAGCCTAGGGACCTGTTTGGAACTCAAAATACGTCATTTTGACAGCTTGGGTTGAGGGTTGCAAGGGAAGAGAAACAATGTAGGTGAATCATAACCTGGCACAATCCTATCTTGTCATCGCAAAAACGGTTTTAAGGTAAACCCACAACTCTTTTCCGAGTTGCCTCGTACAGCTTAGCAAGACTTTGGCACTTTCAGTTTGTTGCCCGCCAGCACATGAAACTTAGAACATCAAAGAACAACTCCAGGAAGGCTATCCATGTGCTATCCGTATATAGCATAGTAGAACATCCCCCAAAAACCGTATCCTAGCTTCGCAGTCGCCTACATTACATGCAATCACCAAAGCCCTCCACTCTAGGCTTGATAGCCCTTTACCTGAACCCTGAAGCCTTATGTAAACTGGCAACTTGAAACTTCCAACTTTGAACCCACTTATCATCAACAACTGAAATCAAAAGCAAAGCCTGCCCTACAAATATCTGACTTGAGACGTCTAATTCAACAGCTGAACCCCTGGGCCATCCTCACCGGGCCTTGCATCCCACTTCAACTTCATCTCATCCGCCTCGCGCGCGTATCGCGCCTGCCGCTCATCCTCTGTCTCCTGCTCACTCCGTAGTCACATGAACCAGGACATCTCAAAGACTACGATCCTTGGGTTGAAAGCTTGTGAAAAGTAGACCCTGCTTCTGGTACAGCTGTAAGTTAGAGAGAATCTGGAGAGCCATAAAGAATATATATATATATGTATATATGATAGGCGATCGCATCTTGGCTTGTCGGTCTAGAGCTCCACAGTTCCTTTGTGCTCTGGCCGGAGCCCTTATGCTGCTTACTTTAGGTCCCTTGATGCTGCTGCCGAAGCCCAACATACACCTATGCATTACCCCTACATAATCCAATCCTAATCGTGTAAGCATGTAAACATTCACACCCTAAACTCTAACCCCAAACCCTAAATCCCCTAGGTTTTGCACCTCTTCAACTTCGAAGCAGACTGCCAGCACGGGCTTCTTGCGGTCAGGGTATCAAGAGTTGGTTAGTCTGTGCACGCTGCCCGAGTAGGCGGGTTCCGCAGCTTCCATTTGGAGTGCTCACAACTTGGCTTGCAATCTCACACAGTAGTTTCCATTGTCTTTTCCATTATCCTTATATATCCCCTAATATAAGCCCTTTAAAGGGTGGATACCAGCTTCCAGGGTTACTCTCGTGCGGGGCTCTGTCACAATATAGGGTTGTGCTTGTGCTTCGGCGCTCTTACCTGGAGGGTCCGGGCTGAACTCCTTAGGCTGCTCTTGAATAGCTTTTGTGATCTTGCACCGCATGAGGCGTATGCTGCTTATACAGACCTACAGGAGAAACACTACATGATTTCGTGACGTCTTGCAATAATGCGTGAGAAGCATTTTCGTTCAAAACTTTCACAGCTTGTGTGAAACTTTTGTTTCAATCAGGAGCAGAGGTATCCTCATCGATCTCCCACGGAGCAAGGCCCGTCGTGGACTCAGCCTGCGACAGCTCAGGTCAGAATCCCCTCTGTTGGGAGTCACGGAGGTAGGGAGGGATTAGCCAATCTTGAATCCCAACTTCTATATCAGGGTTTGCATAAACAGAGGGCCCCATTCATGGACCCCTAAATACGAGTGGGTTTTAGCGGGACTCCCCGAAAAGGACTTTTTTTAATTGGAAACCCCAGCACTCTTCAGAACACGAGCCTAACACTCAAGTTTCAGCAGGAGAGGGATTCTTGCATCCAAATGCAACCTTCTTCCCTGTGTGCCATGTGGGTCTAGGGCCCTTCGGGAATTATTGCCATACTCTCCTGACTCTTTTGCACCATCAGGATTCTACCCTCGGCAGCTCCCGATCTGATAGTAGACTAACATCTCCCTGCCCAAAAGCGCCATCACAAAGCGCGCGCTCTTGTCTAAGTCAGGTAGCTTCGCGGAGAAGTAAAGCCCCTGTCAATCCCTTGACCGCAAGTCCTAACCAAAAAAACCTACCAAAAGAACAAAGATTCGAACATTGCAAGCCGATCCTACGCTTATCGCATAAAGTCCTTCAAAAACCCAGCAGATTTCTCATGCAGCCCTAGATGGTTCGGTTCATGGGAGCTTCCCCAGATGACACCTGCAAAATCCTGGAGTGCAATCCTCTTAATCCCATGTTTCGACTTGCGCATCTGTAGAAATCCCTAGTCGCCCTACCCTACAATTTCTGAAAAACACCCAGTATAAAGCACCAAAAACCTTAAAACCCAAGCCCTAACTCTAAATAGCAGATCCGAAACCTTTAACCCCAAAATCCTAAACCACTAAACCCCTAAAGACATCATGCTAAGGTGTCCCCCCCAAGTGTCATTGGAAGTACCTCCACAGTGGTCGCGCGACAAGGGCCCCTCAGCCGCCGCTGCGCACATCTGGCGGCACAGGCCTGAGAATTGTAAATGGCAGGTATATAGTATATACATATATATACACACATATGAGGGGTGTACAGGGATCAGACAGCGCGAGAAATTTGAGAATTTGGGGTAATGAGGACTCTTTTGGCCACCCCCGTGTCCGTTCAGAGCGCTCTATCGGAAGTTTGGAAGAAAAGTTCAGGGGGAAACCTTCTTATAAGGTTACACCCCACATATCCCCTGCCAGCCCCCTTTAATTGGACCATAATATTGGGAGTTACTTCTGCCCACCCTAAACCCAAGCCCTATTACATAACCCCAGTATAATAGTTTCCATTTTCCTTTCCACTATCCCTATATTACCCATTTATACAGTCAAGACCCTTTAGACTGCCCGGGAGCCCGACCGCGGCCGCGGCGAGCGCGGCGCCTGCCTGGGCCTTGGACTCGCCTCCACTGGGCGGTCGGGCAGCCTCCAGGGTGGTTGAACCCTTTCTTGTTCTAGGGTTTAGGGTTATCGGGGCTTCTATAAGGAGTTTTTGAGGTGCATGGGCCATGGGGGTTATGTAGGGTTTCGGGGCTTGAGGGTTTAGGATTTTGATTTTGGCATGTATGAGGAGTTAAGGCCGAAGGCATTCAGCGTCTAAAATCGTCATCTTGCCCTGCCTGTCGGGATGTGAGGCCGGATGGGCGGCTCGTCAAGGCGCTCCCAGGCCTCGGTAAATCGGTCCAGAATCCCGAAAAAAAGAAGAAACTAAACTCTAGAATTTCAAAGCCTCTCGAACCTCTGAAGAAATCAACTTCCCTATAGGATTTGCACTTGGGCATCAAAGTTGCGGGGGTAGAAAATCCGCGTTGGGGCTTGATAGCTTTCCACAACAACAGCCAAAGAGGCTGGACTTGGCAAAAACGATTACAAAACAGCATTCAAGATTCAGGTGCCCCTGCGTATGTCTCAGATAATGAGATCTTATCCTCAAGGCACCTACACGTTGGAGAAGCCAGAGCACTTGCAAACAACGTTGGTAAGCACATCTAAACGACACGGGGGAGGCATGCCACACCCAAACTGCCCAAAGTCCCTGGATCTACAATCTAAAATTCCCAAATCCCAGATCTACGGACCCTAAACAAGGGTTTAGGGTTTAGAGGTTTAGGGGTTTAGGGTTTAAACCCGAAACCCGCGAGCCTGAACCAGATT